GCTTTTGCAACAAAAACTTTAATCGAGATCACGGTTTTTAATGTTTTCATGTTTTTCGTTTTTTTTTCTCGTTACCATTTTTCGTTCACTTAAAATCGGTATTAATGTCATGCAGTTACTAACTTTATTGATTTACTGAAATTAAAATTAAATTAACTAAATATATTCTGGGGCTTAATATGTAATTTTTATGCTCTTTAAGTAATTTTAGTATTTTTCATATTATCTTTATTGTCCGTCGTAATGATTTAAATTATATGGATATTGTCCGGTAAGGGTTCTTAGCGTCTTTTACATAATTACCGTCTTTTCTAATTCCCATATGTTTTATAACTAAATCTTTTTCCTCAATTTTTCTTATTATAATTATATTTCCAACAAAATCTCAAGAGCCATGCAGCTCATTTTAATTAATTCCATAACCCCTACGTATTATTGTCTATGTCTTAATTTCCCTACGTATAGTTAAATGATAAATTTGCATACCGCTGTGAAGATATGTTGCTATAGCCTATGAAAACATTTATTCAAAAGCTATAGCACACCATAATATTATGGCCAAAATTCGCTACGTAAAAAAATACTGAAGGATATCTTAATGTGGTTTCACTAATGGTAAACTATTACCTATGCAGAATCTTATAGGAATATTTTATGGTATTTTTGCTGAAGCGCCTGTTTATAATTGTCTATGTCTAAATTTTCCTATATATAGTTAAATAATGAACTTGCATAATGAACTTGCATAAATAATGAACTTGCATAATGAATTTGCATGAAAAAATGTTTCTACAGCCTATGAAAACATTTAATCAAAAGCTGTAGCACACCATTATATTATGACCAAAATTTGCTACGTAAAAAATGTCAAAGGATGTCTCAATGTGGTTTCATCAGTAGTAAAATGTCACCCTGTTTAAGGCAAAATTTTACCANCATAATGAACTTGCATAATGAATTTGTATAAAAAAATTTTCTACAGTCTATGAAAACATTTAATCAAAAGCTGTAGCAGACCATTATATTATGACCAAAATTTGCTGTGTAAAAAATGTCAAAGGATGTCTCAATGTGGTTTCATCAGTAGTAAAATGTCACCCTGTTTAAGGCAAAATTTTACCATAGGCAAAATCTCATAGGAATATTATATGATATTTTTATGAGAACCTTGCAAATTTTTCTAAGTATAGTGGCTAAGATGGTTTTGCGTGTTTTGCCAAATCTGATTCCCTTTTGTCAGATTAAATTTGCAAACTGGACTTAGCATGTCAAGTATCAAATATCAATCATATTTTCTAATTGATCAAGAATTTTTATTGTGGTCGATTATTTGGCAAGCAATTCCAATCTTATTGTCCGATTGATTTGGCAAACTTCTAATATAAAAGGTTATCAAAAGCATTCTTTTTGTGTGATTGCGAAAGTTTAAATCGTGAAATGCTTTAGTGCTTCTTTTTTTAAATTCACTGAGGCAGGTGTTACTTTTCCTATGATGCCTGACAAATTTCTTCCCTATCCTGTAAGAAACATACAATGTAAATCAAAATTGTATAATTACATACTTACAAAATGATAATATTTCTTTCGTTTTAACCACAAAGAAATATATTTTTCCCGCTCTAATGTTAGAGCATAAAAGAGGGCATCACGTGTTTTTTCAACGCATGGTAAAATCGTAACACTCGGCCAAGAGGTTTAAGCCCCATGCAACGGAGTAAAGCTCAACTACTCGTTAGATTGATTATTTTATTATTTCCTTTTGATATTTTAATTGAATTAATGTAGTCAACGGTAATCCTTTTATTATTTGTTTAATTTTAATTGAAACAAATGCTTAGCATTTTATTTTTTAAGGATGTCGCGGGATTGAAAACATGAAGTGATTGAAGAAAAAGCTCTCTTTAATTTTGTACAGTAAATTAGGATTTACATTAAACGTTTAAAAATACAATTATATACCATTTTTCTTATTTTTTTTTAAAAAAATCTTGATTGAAATGCATATTTATATGGAAAACATACACTTTAAATGCTTTTCCACTGAAAGAAGAGTATGAAAATGCGTTATAAGTATAGAAAAAATTATCGTTAACATTAAATTATACGTATTAATTAGCGATCGTTTTATAATATAATGTATATATGTATATATATCTATCTATATGTAATATATAAATATGTATATAT